GAGTGGGCCCCAGCGAAGAGCTTTCTCGGGCCCTCTGCGTCTGTGGCCGAGGAGCGCCTGGCCGCCCCCAAGCCTTGCCCGTTCTCACGGGGGCCCTTTTCGGCTGCAGAAGTCTCACGGAATGAGTCCTGCTCGGACCTGCCAGAAATCCAGAATGGCTGGAAGACCACTTCTCACACGGAGCTGGTCCGGGAGGCCAGAATCACCTACCAGTGCGACCCGGGCTATGATATCATTGGCAGCGACACCCTCACCTGCCAGTGGGACCTCACCTGGAGCAGCGACCCGCCTTTCTGTGAGAAAAGTACGGCCCTGGGGGAGAGGAGGGCCTGCCTCACATCCTCGCTCTGCCCCAGATTTTATCCCCCTTTGGCTTGAGTTCCACTGGAGATGCCACTGTCTTTTCCCTGCCCTGCTCCTGTGACTTTAACCGAAGTTTCACGCAGAGAAACGCACCTATGAAGTCATTCCTGTCCACGGCAGGAGCTGCAGCACCACCTCCTTCCTCTGTCCCTGTCGGCTGTTGCAGACATCGGAGCCCGACCAGAAAAATGGTTGGCACTCCCAGGTCATACAGGATAACTGGAGGGAGAAGAAAGGCAGCCTTTCTCTAATCCCTGCAACAGCCAATAAATCAGGAGTCAACCACTCTGATCCCCCCCCTCCCCGAATCAGAACCAGTGCACTAGGCTGGGCTTGCAAACAAGAAACAGCCCTTTGGTTCACGTGCAGAGAGGCTGGTGCTGTAACTCTGTGTATGGGGGAGAGTCAAGGCTGTACATCAAGTCTGGATGAAGACAGGGAGGGAATGTGGCACAGTGGTTTGGCTCCAGGGCCCCCTCCTGAGCGAAGCCCCCTCCTTTTGGGCCCTAGTCATGTACTGCACGGACCCTGGAGAAGTGGAGCACTCAACCCGCTTGATTTCGGACCCGGTGCTCTTGGTGGGGACCACCATCCAGTACACCTGCAATCTGGGCTTCGTGCTGGAAGGGAGCTCCCTTCTGACCTGTTACAGCCGGGAAACAGGGACGCCCATCTGGACCTCCAGGTTGCCCCACTGCGTGTGTAAGTTTGGAGCTCGCCTCGGTGGGTGGGACCTGCTTTTCCCGCGTCTGCCGCTCTGGGCACGTTTGTTCATCTGTAGCCGTGCAAGAACGAGGGATCTGAGCCGGGAGATAGAGGAGGGTCACCGGGGACCGCACAGCAGAGGTTCCTTCCAGATCAGCCCCCTTGCTGATCTGTTCGCTGGTTCCCCCCCTTGCAGCGGAAGAGTCCCTGGCCTGTGACAACCCTGGTCTGCCTGAAAACGGGTACCAGATCCTGTACAAGCGCCTTTACTTGCCGGGCGAGTCGCTGACGTTCATGTGCTACGAAGGCTTTGAGCTCCTCGGGGAGCTCACCATCAAGTGCATCCTGGGGCAGCCCTCCCGGTGGAGTGGGCCACTCCCCACCTGCAAAGGTAGCCCCTCGGGCCGGAGGGGGAGGCTCCTTGGGGGGCCCGGGGCAGCTGGCTGCTCTGCTTTGCTCTGGCTCTCCCCGCTGCCCCCTTTGGACAACGGGAGCCCCCGTGACTAAAAGATGGGGAGGGGGGCCTCTGCTGGGGCAATTAGGGGCAGGACGCCAAAGGGTCACCTCTGCCAAAGCCCCGATGAAGCCGAGCGCCCCTCGCAAGCTGCCCGTGGCGCTCTCCTGCCTGACTCCCGGTTCTTCCCTTCCAGTCAATCAAGACAGCTTTGAACACGCCTTAGAAGGTAAGTTTCAGCCAGCCGCCCCTCTCTGCCTGGGGGAGAGCGGGGGGCAGGCTGTGCACAGAGACCTGCAGCCTTTTCTCTCTTTAGTAGCAGAAGCTGCTGCAGAAACGTCCTTGGAAGGAGGCAACATGGCACTGGCGATCTTCGTCCCTGTCCTTGTCGTTTCCTTGCTGCTGGGCGGGGCCTACGTCTACGTCACGAGGTAGGAAGGGGTCCCCCCCTCGCTGCCCCTTCCCTGTAGGGCACCCTCCGTGGCTCAGACCTCCAGGAGCCACGGCTGACAGTGCTGAGGGGGAGACGAGGCTGTGGCCGGAGCCCCCAGGGAATTTTCTTCAGGCAGGACGCTCTCACTCTGGGTGAGCACCGTGGGGCTGCAGATGTGGACCCTGATGTGGGGCAAGCAGGGCAGCTGGGCTTCAGTGCACAGCGGCCACCTGGAGCCCTTTGGCTTCCACGCTCCCCCCTACACACACACACACACACACACACACACACACACACACACACCCAGCTTCTGGAAGCTTTCCTGCTGAATGCTCCAGAGCGCGCCCAGCGATGGGATGGGAGGCCGGTCGGGCTGACCCCGCCGAGGTTTTGCTTTCCTCTTTCCTTCAGATGTCGGTACTACTCCAGCCTGCGGCTACCCCTCATGTATTCGCATCCCTACAGCCAAATCACTGTGGAGACGGAATTTGATAATCCGATTTATGAGACGGGGGTGAGTTGCCACATTTCCTCAGCCCAGAGCCAGAGCTGGCTAGGAGTTAAATGGAGAGCACCAGAACATCCCAGGGCCGGAGCTCGAGAAACCCTCCTGGCAAAAGGCAGGCTGCTTCCATCCTCGGCAAGAAAGCCACCGGGCACATTGCTGAGTCAGCAGCAGCCGGGTCCAGCTCAAGGGTGGCTTGATTTCCCCTGGGCGGACCTGCCTCTGCGGCCAGGCCAGGCATCTGATCCGGCGGCCAGAGCAGGAAAGGGACGTGGTCATCTGTGCCAGCAGGGTTCTGTTCAAGGTCTCGTCTCCCCTGGGCTGCAGACTGACCATCGCCCTTTCTCTGCATGGCAAAGCCACGACACTGCACGACTGGACCCTTTGGTGTTCCAGGATCCAAATCAAATCAAAAATCCATTCCATTTTTCCCATTTTTTAAAAACATTCAATAATTTTGTACAGTGAGAGAAAACTCAGAAGTACAGGACATTGTACTAAGATTGTACTGGGCTGGTGTTCAAAATGTAACCCAGCAGGGGATCTACTCAGCCTGCACGCTTCTTCAGGACCACTTCCAGTCTCACATTCTGATGTGGTACTAATGCCCCCTCCTGGTGCCTTTTCTGCATAAAGCATTTAATTTTAACTTGGGAGGATCTCTTTAAACAGGTTGTCTGCAAAGATTCACCAAGCATTTTGCAGTGACTGAGTCGTCTCTCTTTCCACAGGAAACCCGAGAATACGAGGTGTCCATCTGAAACAGCCCCCCGCCCCGACACACACACCGCCTCGATTCCCATTCCCAGGATCTCCTCAAGTGACCCATTTGGAGACGTGGTGGAATCTGCCCGAGAGCCTGAACCTGCCTCCCCACTTCTGCTTCTGATCCACGTGTCCCCGCCTCTTCCTCATTCTCATGGACTCTCCCTCAGCAGTTTTCCAAGGGCAGGGGCTGAGCTTTGCTGGCCTGGAGCTGAGCCCTCCTTGGCAATACCACCGACAAAGGAACATCCTCGGCTGGTTCATGTTCTGGGTTTGTGGAGGTTCATGTTTTGAAAAACAGCGACTGAAAACTGAGGCTGCCTCTGCCGAAGGGGTGAGCCTTGACTTGCCTGATGCTGCCAAGCGCCAACTTCTTGCAGGGGAAACTTCTCTCGGAGCTACAGCCCCTTCTGCGCACGGCGTCCTGCAACGTCTGCTTCTGTTTGAGCTGGGGGAGGAAGCGGGGCCAACACGGAGGGAACTCTGGAAAGCCGGCTCTGGGAATCCTGGGCCATCCGGCTGCTGGGGGAGACTCAGGAGCCGGCCGAGGGAAGACGCGTGCCAACGCCTCACCCCGTTTTTATTTTAAGTGCGGGGTCTGGATCTGCTAGCCAGCCACTTGGCCTGGACAATCGAGAAAGATGATGCGGCTCTGGAAGATGGAGGCCAAGTGTCCTTTTTGGGGGGGTCTCAGACACGGTCCTTTCAAACAAAGACATTCTTGGCCACTGCCTGCAAGGCTGGTCCTGTTTCTCTTGCCCCAGATAAAATGGTGGGTCTCAACAAGTTTCCTTTCACGCTGGAGACTTCCTTGCGGGGTTTGGGCGCTGGCAGCAAAGGAAACCTGTGGAACTTCAGCTCCAGGAAAGGATGGAGAGACATTTGTGTCGTCCCAGGGTGGAGGGATGCGGATCACCCCTTTCTGCCTTGCACATCTGGAAGGGCAGTGGGTTCCATCCTGCACAGTTCCCTTTGATTCTCCGAGCAGAGTAGAGAGAGAGCAAGTGTGTTCCCAGAGGCCTCCCCCCGCCAGGTTGGATCGGGGGGCCTTCCTGCCTTGCAGTCCTAAAGCTGACATAAAATGCGGGGGGAGAGGTCACCTGGATGAGCTATGGGAGCCCCTGGGACAGGCTGACCTAGCCCCCCCCCACTTGGAGTTGTGCCCAGGACAAAAACATCCCCCGCCCCAAGTGACTGTCTGCCCGTTTTCCTGCTGGAATGCCTCTGCTCCTGGAACGGGATGGGCTTTCGGGGGGGAGGAAGAGACCCAGGGCCCAGTCTCCTCCCTGCGGCCGTTCCTTCCATAGAAATGTGAGGACAGGAGAGGACGGCTGTTTGCTTTGTGAAAAGATGTCCCTCCCCCCCCCACCTCTCCTCATCAAGCCTGCTCTGTGTGGATAAACTGGAAGAGGGCAGATATTTGGCTGCATCCATTCCCATCTTTGTAAAAACAGTGAAAATGTAACCATGACAATTTTTTAAACATGTCTGTTTTAGATTAGAAACCCCGGCTAGTGCGTTTCTGCAGTTGTCAAGGCATTTGGGAGTGTGTGTGTGTTTTCTTCCTCCTCTTCCAATGTACAGACTCACCCCTCCCTGTGAATGTGTATCGTAATTTGCAAAGGTCTGAGAACAGGGTGTGCCAAACGACAAATGTACACTTCTCTTCTTCTCCTCCCTGCAGGTCTCTTTTTATAAGATTGATGGGATTAAATATTTTTTGAACATGACAAAGGCTCTTTGGGCAGTGCCAGAATTGAATAAGCTTACCATCAACTGCGCTGTATTTCTAAATGACCAGGAACGCGCTGCCAGTGATTCTCAGCTGCATCCAGATCGAGCCTAACAGCGGGATTGACCCAGCCGCCACAGGGCTTCCCAGATGTGATCTTTCCTCTTTAACAGCAAATCCTGCTTCAGCTGCTGTCTACGCAGGAGCTTTGTGCCTGCGAGCATTTAAGAGAAAGTGCTTGCTTGGCTTAACAATGCATAAATTTATGCAGCGTCACGGCGGGTTGCTCACGTGCTCATGCAAGGCACATAACTCAGGCGCTGGAGCACATCCCTCTCTTTGTGCTGGCTTAGATCACAGCCTGGCTGGGAACACTGGCAAACAAGCAGGGCCCCCCAATCCAGGGGTCCATGGGGCCAAGGGAGGCTTCCAGGCAGGAAAGAGGTCAATGACCCTTGAGGAACATGCCTGCTTTTTCCCAACTGGGAGGGTGAGGGGTCTTCCGACACCCAGCCTGCTCCCTCTCAAGGCCTCACTCCCAATTTTCCCTCCACAGGAAAATTGATGAGCTTTGAGAGGGCAGGGAAAAACTTCCTACCTGACATGTCCATTTCCTAATGGCCTGCAACTCACAGGAAACCCCTCAGCTCCAGCATGGTCAGTTTGCTCTACCATCACACCGGTACAGTGCCTGACACGGCATTTTCCTGCATAAAGGTTTGGGTCCCAGCCGAGAAGCTTGAAACAGCTAGGCTTGGGGGAAGGCTGCTGAGCCGAATGAGGCTGAGCTGGGAGGGGCATCTGGCAACTTGGCTGCCCCTTCATGCCAGGCTTGTGAAGGGCACCTGCCTCAAGAGAGGTGTTGGGATGAACACAGGGCGGGCATCTGCTCCACTTTGCTCGCCCATGCTGTGGGGAGTGTTTGCAGCCTTAGGTTGGGGGGAGAGGCCTTGGGTCACTGAAGCCACAGTTTCTGCCCAGGCTTTGGCCCGGCTGGTCTGCCCGGAGCTGGGGCTGGGGGAGAGGGGCTCCAGGGGGTAGGACTTCCTTCCCTGGTATGGACCTACAGGCGAGAGCTTTTTGCAAAGGATCCTGAGAAGCTTCAGCTTACATTTGCTTGAATTCCACTCGCTCGACGGCTTCCCGTTGCTCCGGACTAGCTGCTTCACCTCTTTTTCCTGGCCTGGGGGGTAGAGGCGCTTCCTGTCCTCCATTTTGAGCAAAAAGCCCTATTAAATGTCACGTGCCACCCCATAGCCACCCAAGGGTTTTCAGGTGGGGGAGGGTG